TGTAAAAAAAAAAAAATTTTGATTCTTTAGAACCTCATTGAATATCCCTATTGAACATACAAAACTTAAAAAAAAACTTAATAAGTGTCATAGATTAAATAACTAATAAAATTAATACTAAATTAATGTTAGTGATACTCTTACATATCTTTTCACCGAAGTAAAGTTTTAAGAAAGAGAAAAAAAAAACAGTGTGGATCTGTTTAGAATATTGGCTTGTCGGATAAAATGCCTTTCATCGAAACACATCGACAACGAGTCTAGGAGTCTGATATAGTGAATGACGCATGCGTATTGGTCGTGCAGTATTACTTATAGACATTATTACACTTGCCTAAGTAGAATGATCACGATTTGATGGGAAAGTATGGACATGCCTAGACAACTAGCTTGATGATTAAGATGTCTTCCGTTGAAATGCAGTCACAACTAGATCAACCAACTAGATCAACTAACCAAATTAAGCGTTGCCTTTATTGCCGATGGAATTGAATGCTTCAACGGGAGCTGCTATTGGTATTGAAAACGTTTTCAGCTCTTTGATCTATTCTGTGGCGCGAAATCCATCATTGGCCAAAAAATTATTTGGTTATTCAAATTCAAAGGAGGGGAATTGTTTCGAGACAGTTATCACTAGACCACAACATGTTTGAAACCAAACGATAAGAATTAATGTCTACAAAAGGTTTAAGCTTGAAAAAGCTGTACGTCATTTGATGCGACGATAGCTGTTTCTGATTGAGTGCAAGTTTGAGTCGAAATACTAATTAATTAACTTATTGATATTTGCTTCTCCATGAAGATCATATCAACGTCTCTATATCTTCAAATGTTGTTTTCCTAAGTAACGTACTCTATCATCAAGTCTACAAAAATTTGGTAATTTAAATAGTCAAGTCAATACTAAATATCATACTTTATCTAATCAGTCATCTTCAATAATTGTACTATATCCGTATTCATATTTAAGTAGTAAAATCGATCTCGTGATGCATGCATGCCTCTTTGTCAATGATATCAAATTGTAGATTTAACACAATAATATAGTGTTATAAAAAAACAAAAAACAAAACAATAAAGGAAAGGGATTCGTTGTAATTCCAACAGAAGTACTTAAAAGGGAATCATAAATCAAAATATTACAAAAACAAGAATTAAACAAAAACACATGAAGAAGAGCAATTAATGATTTAGGGTTAGATAAATTAGGCAGCATATATGTGGATATGAAGAGCAATGAGGGAAACCGTGATGCATGCAAAGAAGATGAGAGTGTGAATCACAATGGCTGCACCGCTTGTCTGAAAACCACCAAACTCAACCACTTTGGTCTTCCCGGGAAGCTGAAACAATACTCCGGGAGTCAATACGATGAACAGAACCACCGACATTAACACTGGTCCCCAATTCAAGGTCATATTAATAATATAGAATCAAAATCAACCAAGTTTGTGTATGTAAGTAAATCTACGAGTTTATTGTAGGAGTTAGCTTGTGTGTATGTTTTTTATACGCCCATGTATGTGCTTTTATAGATTGTTTGAATTAAGATTGAGATCTAATGAAACAGTGTGGCTTGAAGTGAACGAAAATATGAAGTTTGGATGGTGAAGGAAAGAACGATTCTCTGCAGCTAACTCGATCGTATCAAAAGTATATTGTCACACTATGTATTGATTGTTCGGTAGGCTAAGCATCTGATTCTTGTCTAGTAGACATTATTTGGTACCTATCTGGCTCTATTGTTTTTTTGTTATAAAGAGACAAGTGGCCTTTTTCACGTTTGCTATTATTAAGAGGCATTTGGCCTTTGAGAGTCTGCTTTATCATGAATTCATAGCGAGTGCATTTCTATGAAATAGCGGTTACTCCTGGCTTATTTGAATAATTGAATACAATATCAAATGGATAAGTTTATATCAAATATTTAGGAAACGACATTGTGAGCCAAAAACAAAGATGATAAAATCGATCCTTGTCCATATAAATCCATAACTTATCCATATCCGAGTCAAGTCGCTCATATCTTTGTTTTATTTTATAATAAAATATAAACGCATGTTTTCTTTTATTTATTGAGACGAACGATAATTAAATAGCATGTTGGTCTACTAAAAAACCTC